ACTGACATTATCCTGTTACCAAAATTGAAAAATGACATTATCAGAAATGAAAACTGGGGACCAAAATCCTTCATTACCATACACACATAAAAACTCTCAACAAAACTTTAGTAAGTTATATCCAATAATCCATAAAAACAATAATTCAACATGACCAAGTGTGGTCTATCCCAGGACTGTAGGCTTGTTTTAAAATTCCAAAGGCAATGTACTTCATCTTAGTAAGAAAATAAAGAAGAAAAAATCATATGACAATTTCAACAGATGCAGAAAAATCATCTGGCAAAACCTAACAACGATTAATAATTAAAAAATCTTAGCAAACTAGGAAAAGAAGGGAACCTCCTCAATGCCCACCTCATCTAAGAACAATCTACAGCTAACGTCATACTTAATAGTAAAAGACCAAATGCTTTACCCCTAAGATTGGGAATGAGGCAAGGAAATCTGCTCTAACTTCTTCACTTCAACTTTGTTCCATAAGTCCTAACCTGTGCAAAAAGAAAAATAAAATGCATATAGATTGAAAAGAAGTAAAATCGTCTTTATTCACACATGACATGATTTTTGGCACACACTCTAAAGGAAGGGCTGAAAATCAGTAAGAAACCATCCATCTTAAGAAGTTAAAAAAAAAAACCAGCATATTGAATCCAGAGGAAGGAGAAGTGATAAAGGGCAGAATTTAGTGAAACAGGAAAAAATATGCACTAGAAAGGATAAACAAAGGCACAGTGGGTTCATTAAAAGGACTAAAAAGATTGATAAGCCCCTGGTAAGACTGATCAACAAAAAAAAGAGAAGACACAAATGATTAATATCAAGAATAAAAATGAAGACATCACTACAGACACCAGAGAAATTAAAAAGATAAGACAATGTTATCTTTTCAAATGCCAACACACTTGAAAATTTAGAAGAACTGGAAAAATCCTTAAATATGTATTAGTTAACAAAACTGACACAGGAAGAAACAAAAAATCTGAAAAGTCATATAACAATGAGAGAAACTGAAACCAGAATTTTAAAACTCAGCACAAAGAAAACTCTAGATCTAAATCCAGAAATTCCACTGCACATTTATGAAAGAAACAATGCACTAATTATACCTGATTAAATTAGATTACATTAAATTAGAATTACACAAATTCTACCCGAAAATAGAAAAAGAGGATAGATTCCCCAATCCATTTTCTGAAATATGAATAACATAAAACCTTACAAGGACATTAGAAGAAAACTTTTTCCTAAATAAAAAATATTAAACTAAATGCAAGAGTATCTACAACAATAATACATCACAAGATTGGTTTTATTCTGGAATGCAAGATTGGGTTTATGTTCTAAATTCATCAAATTGACAGAGTAAAAAGTTATATAATAATCTCAATAGTTAGAGAAAAAGCATGATAAAATCCAACACACATTGATGATAAACATGTAGCAAAGGAATAATACAGTTAATTTCTTAAAAATTATCTGTAAAAGCATATAGGAAATATCACATATGAAAGCTAAAAAGTTTTCCCCTTAGGGGCTGGCCTTGTGGCAGAGTGGTTAAGTTCGCGTGCTCCGCTGCAGGCGGCCCAGTGTTTCGTTGGTTCGAATCCTGGGCGTGGACATGGGCTCGTCAAGCCACACTGAGGCAGCGTCCCACGTGCCACAACTGGAATGACCCACAACCAAGAATATACAACTATGTACCAGGGGGCTTTGGGGAGAAAAAGGAAAAAAAATAAAATCTTAAAAAAAAAAAAGTTTTCCCTTTCACACCAGGAATAGAAAAAGTTATTCCATATCATCCTCCACATGATCAAAGGAATCTACAGATGAAGTACCACAATTAATAGGTGAATTTAGCAAGATTGCTTGATACAAGGTCAATATTCAAAAATCAACTGTATTTCTATACCAAGGGCACAGAAAATGAAAAAATTTAATACCAATTATAAGAATATTTTAAAAATCTAATATGTAGGAATAAATCTAACAGAAGATATATAAGACATGTACACAGAAAACCATAAAAGAGTTTCAATAGCTAAACAAGACCTAAATAAACGTGGAGCGATATGAGGTTGATGGACTGAATAAGTGAATCCCATAAAGATATTAATTCTCCCCAAACTGATCTATAAATTTAATAAAATTGCAAGTGAAGTCACAATAGGTTTTTGTGACAGTTGAGAAACCAGTTCTAAATTTATACAGTCATATGTGGCTTACCAACAGTCCAAGAAATGAGTCATTAGGTGATAATGTCATTCGAACATCATAGAGTGTGCTTACACAAACCTAGATGGTGCAGCCTACTATACACCTAGGTTTCATGGTACTAATCTTCTGGGACCACTGTTGTACACCATCATTGACCAAAGCATTGTTATGTGGCACACAGCTATACTGAAATTCAAAGGGACAAGAATAGCCAAAACACTCTAAGAAGAGTAAGGTGGGAAGACTTGATCTACTGAAATATCAAGTCATCTTACAGAGCTACAGTAATTAAGGCACAAGAATATACAAACAAACAAATGGGCTCAAACAGTCCAGAAACAGACTATCATATATAAGGACATTTTATTTATGACAGAGGTGGCACTGCAGAGCAGTGGGGAAAAAATCATCTCTTTAATAAATCATGCTGGACCAATTTGTATTGCATGGAGGAAAAAGCTGAAACAGGACCCTGCTTCACATTATACAGAAAATTAAATTCCAGGCAGTTTGTTGATCTATATAACAAGGGTAACATAAAAAAGCTTCTAAAAGAAAACAGAGAACATCATCCTCATGATATCAGAGTAGGGGTATCAGGGTAACTTTTTTTTTGAGGAAGATTAGCCCTGAGCTAACATCTGCTGCCAATCCTCTTTTTGCTGAGCTAACATCCATGCCCATCTTCCTCTACTTTTTATGTGGGGTGCCAGCACAGCATGGCTTGCCAAGCACTGCCATGTCTGCACCCAGGATCTGAACCGGCGAATCCCAGGCTGCCCAAGCAGAAGGTGTGCACTTAACTGCTGTGCCACCAGGCCGGTCCCTCAGGCTAACTTCTTAAACAGGACACAAAAATATTAATCAAAAATGAAAAGTTTGATATATTAGATATATTAGCCATACCAAAATGGCTAACATGAAAAAGATGGAAAATATTAAGTATTGGCTAGGATATCTAGCCAACATACCAGCTGCATATGAGAACTCTTGTTGATCCATATCCTAGCCAACACAATATTTTCCATCTTTTTCACTTTAGCCTTTTTGATGGAAGTATATTAGTCTCTCACTTAGGAAAACATGTTAACATTACCTACTAAAGCTGAAGATAAACACATGAAGAAATTCCACTTTTGATTATATACACAACAGAAATGCTTATAATGTACACTAAGATTCAAATACAAGAGTGTTTGTAGCAGAATTACTTATGAAAACCAAACACTGGACAGAAAAGTGGATGAATAAATTGTGATCTATTCATTCAACAGAATACAATACAGGAATGAAAATGAACAAACTATAGTCAAATGCAACAACACTGATAACCTCACAAAAGCAGCCAAACACAAAAGAATACGTACTCCATGATTCTGAATTCATCTAAAATTCAGAACAGAGGCAAAACTAATAAAAATAGTGTTGAGGAATTTACACTTAGGTGATACAACTATAAATGAAAGCAAGGGAGTGATCTGCTAAAAGTCAACAGAGCAGTTACCTTTGGAAGGGGAAGGTACAATGACTGGGAGGAAACATGCAGGACGCTTCTGGCGTGCTGGCAGTGCTCTATTTCTTGTCCAAGAATATAGTTACAGGGGTGTTTAGCTTGTAAAAATCACTTAGCTGTAATTTCTGATTTGTGCACTTTTCTGTATGTACACACATACACAAGTATAAAAAGTTATCTTACCAAAACTGTTATATAACTTAATATAAACTATAATAAAATGATTATATAAGCTTAATGCGAGGAGAGGGAAACGAGAGGGGTGATCATGTGGGTGGGGTTGGAAATGAAGAACAGGCATGGCAAAGAGAGTGAGGCAGCTTACATTCCATAAGGAGAAGCCAACAGACAGTGCCTAAAACTGAAAATCAAGAATACCATTTAAGGATACTAAAGCAAGTACCAAATAATCAGCTAAGAGAGAGAAAAGAACTTGTCCCAGGGAAGGGAAAAATTGTAGATACGAAGTTGGAAGCCTATTGCTCCTCTAACAAATCTGGTAGAACTATTTATGGTCTCTTTAAAGCCAAAAAAAAAACTGAAGGAAAAAAGAACACCTAAAATGTCACCATTTACAAGCGGAACCTTCATCATCCCATCTCTTGCTTAATTCTTCACTTCTATCACATTCTGTGAGTCAGCATTAACCCCTGGCCTGAAGGAAAGCTCTCTAAGCAGAAGCGACTGCCCCCCATCAACTCTCTGGTTAGCTCACTTGTCAGTCTTAAGATGAATATAAAAGATAATAAAGGAAGAGAAACTCAACCTTTCTTCTCTTTTATCCCCTAACGAAAAACAAAGCTACAGACAAAAGTTAAGGTATCTAAAAATTCAAATTAAAAAAAACAATTTCCACTTGCACATTACAATGCATGAACTACTGGCAAATGGCAGAAGAATAACCATAGTATGGAAATATGAATTTAAACATTTCTAAATGTAGTTTGAAAATAGGTATAACTTTTAAACTCAAGATATACACAATTAAGGCACTAGTGTTGTCAAGTTAAGGTGCCCCTAATCCATAAAAATTAGGCCAAAGACAGTGCAATAAAATTATGTGAAATATACTCATTTATCAATTTCTAAATAAATCTGATTTATTTTTAACTGACATCTTAATTATCCATATTTACATCTGGAATATAACAACTTTTCTCTCTTTTAACAATCTGAGACAAACAAAATGTTATGATTATACATTAGCTATGCCTCCTCAGTTTCTAGAGCTGAAATGCCATGTCAATTACTAAATAAGATTTAATTTTACCTTGTTTAATCTGTCCTTGCACAACATTACTGGAAGTTGGAGGGGAACCCCTTGCCTTAGAAAGGTCTGGGGTGCTTGGTCTAGGTGGCCTTTAAATAGAAGAAGAAAATACATGTATATATATAGTCATATTTTCAGATTTCCAGAACCATTTAAAATATTGAACTTTCAAGTTCCAAATGAATTGCAAAAGAAACACATAAAGAACATTTTCAATTTACTGTTCCAGAAAGATGGGGTGCTTTTTTGTTTTGTGCCTGTTAACATTCTCCATTTCAAATTTTAATATACTAAATTAAATGATTAGCAAATAGCAAGTAAAAATTTTACATCTAAAATTTATGCCTTATACTAGTTTAAGAAATATCTATGAACACTTTAATGTACTACCACCCACAGATAAATATCATAATTAGTCCTTCATTCTTCAATATTAGCATGCTGAGATTTCAGCCCACCCCATATCTTTGGTCCAAATAAATTCATGGAATCCAGCCCTAACATCCAAAAAAGGTAAAGCGTTAAGAAATCTTGGATGCTAGAGGCAGACTGTCTCATTTTGAATTCTGGCTCTACTACTTACTACTTGCGTGACGTTGGACAAGTTACTTAACCTCTTTGTGTCTCAGTTTTCTTATCTATAATAGTAGGATAATAAAAGTACCTACCTTATAGGGTTAAGAGCATTAACAAGAAGCATCTGTAAAGTGCTTACAACAGAGCCAGACACAAGGTAAGTGCTACTTAAGTTTTTGTTAGATTAAAAAAAAATTCTTAGTATGGTCAACTCTCAATAAAGTATAATAAAACCACAGTTTAAAAAGTTGTCTTCATGACTTCTGGAAAATAGGAAATACACATTCAGGTACAGTATTCTAGAATATTAAAATAGTCTTCACCTGCACTTAAAAAAGTTTTCTCTTTTGCCACTGAAAAACTCTGACCACACTTCTCACAAAATTCTGAAGCCAATCACTGAGCACACATAGCATTCATCACATATGGGTCACAAAGAAGAGAAGCATTTTAACCTAACATACATTTGAATTAAATGTTAGTGCAAACTTTAAGTAGATATAATTCTAAGATGATATTTACTGAAGAGCTAGTCTATAATTCATTTATTAAAGCTGAATTGTAACCTAGTCCCTCATTCCAATTTTTTTTTAAAAATAGCTAGTGAGCATGTCTGACTATGGATAAAACCGTATATTTGTATCATGTTTTAAATCATGCATATTATGTTCTAAAATTTAAAGGGGAAACACTGAAATGATACAAAAATGCTAAAGTGTGTAGAGCCAAAAAAAGTAATAAAGTGACAAAAGTAAAACAGGTTTTTTTTTTTTCAAACATAAGAATAAAATCAAACTATCATTGTCACACCTGGTAGGGCCCTTCTTCATATGATCACCAATAAAAGTTGCATTGGTCATACTCATTAAGGTATTTGCCAAAGATATGACGGACAGAAGATGTTGTGTGGTGACGGCTCGGGACACTCCATAAGTTCCTTTTCCTACTCCCTCAGTTGCTGGCAGCTTCCTTCCTACTTCTGCTTTCCCGTGTGACAGTTTACAAGCAGCCTGATTATAACCAGGAAGCATCAGTGACATATGACCTCCTCTGGATAAGAGACCAAATGATACTGTGCAATGGGGTTTGAGCATTCCAAGGCGATCAAGACAAACTTCATCCAGAACTTCATTCAAACCCCAGGCATGAAGGCAGGACATGAATAATTTTGCAGTGTCCATAGTTAAATTATATTCTAATAGGGTCAATGGCTTAGATTTGCTGGCCCGATATTCAGGATCACTTTCTTCCCTTCTTTGCCTCATTATCTCCTCATCCTCCTCTTCATCATCAAGGAGATGTTCCTTTATGTTCTCTTTGATAGTTTCTTTCACTTGTTGGAAGAGAACTGCTGCTCTCTTTCCAGTTAGAAAAGAGCCTCCTTTGTCTGAACTGCCAGATGCTTTTTGCAAATTCTCTGGGGAAATAAGCGCAGTATTCGGCCTAGAGGCTTCTTCAGTCAGGAGTTGAATAATCAACGCTTCCACATCAAAGAAAAGCACATGTATGTCCGGGTCTGTTAGGTTTGTCTTTATTGCTTGAACCATCAGGGAGTTATGAGAATATTTAGGTAAATTTCCCTGCAATAAATATTTTTAAAAGATGGTTATAATTAAAAGTGTTTAATTTCACACATTCATTAACAAACAATAAATAGTCAAAGGAATTTAAATGCTTATTAACCTGTCTTTTTAGGTACCTATACCATTGTAAGTAACACACTAACTCTGTCAATCAGCAGCATGTAAAAGATATGAACTTAAACAATTAAAAGATCTTTATGCTGAAATAACTGAAATTGTTGATTACTTTTTAAAAACAAGGAAATAACAGTTTATTATATTGAAGCAGGGAATCTTTTTACTCACAGAACAGATTAAAAGTTGTTTCAATAACTTATATGCAAATTCTATCTCTGAGAATGAACTACCATCCCACCTGAAAAAATAATCCGTTTATCACAGTTACTCATCCTTTTAAGTTGCTGCATCATCAAATCCCTCCTTTTTCTATTTTACCTTCCATCTCTCCCTGTTCACAGATTCTTTTCCCTCAACAGAGAACATGTTCAAGTCTATTTAGATTCTAAAAATAGTGTTACCTTTGACTATGCCCCCTCTTCTCTTTCTCTCTCCTCCTACTGCCCCTTTCAGCCAAATTTATGGAAAGTAGTAGACTAACCCAATGGAAACTTTTCAGTCCCTCTCCTCCTTAATCTCTTTGCAGTATCTGACATTGTTATTTTTGCTGAGAGAGAGAGAGAAAGTATAAATAAAAATAAAAAGCCACCTCTCCCAGCTTCCAAGAGAACACCTTCCTGGTGACTCTTCTAATTCTGACCCACCCTTTCAGTCGGTTGCCTTGACAACTCACTCTTCCTTCAACATTAGAACTATCATCTATATGTAGGTGGCTCCCTAATTTCCATCATCAGCCAGACCAGCCTCCTGAAGGAGTTTCAATCCTGTATTTACAACTTGTATTGGATGTCCCACAGTACCTCATATTTAATATGCCCCAATCTCCACCCTCCCACTAAACCTGCTCTAACCATCAGGGGAGAATCTGTCCTCTTCCATTCTATCCCCACCACTACCATCTACACATCTAGACCTTATCTTCTCTCCTCTAACCAGGTCTCTGTGTGCCCCTAGTCTCTCCTCACTCCAGTGTCACCTCCACAGAGCCACGAGACTGCTCTCTGAAGCAAAAATCTAATCACGTCACTCTTCTGCCAAAAAAATTGCCATTATCATGGGTTATGAAGAGAAATACAAAATACAAAATTATTAAAAACTACATCAAAATATAGGTGAATATATCTGATCTCAAGGTGAGAGAGGACTTTCGAAACATACTTAAATTTAAAATTTATTACTAAGAAAATATTAAACGGCAACTAAGAAATAGGAATAAAATGTGCCAGAAACAGGACTGATGAAGACTTACAATCTATATAAATATTTCTTAAAATCAATGAGAAAAATACTAATGCCCAAAGAAAAGGGAAAAATACCATAAAGATCACAGACAATCCACAGAAAAAGAAACATTAATGGTCAATAAATATGGAGAAAAACCTGCTCAAACTCAAGGAAATAACAGCTAAAATAACCACAAGACACCATTTATAAAATTAACAAACAGTAAACACTCAAAATACTTGGCCAGAAGCAAAATGAAAGTCAAACTCACATGCTGCACACATAAATTTCAATAGCAGCCTTTTGGAAGAGTAATTTGGTAAAATACATTGTGAGCCCTTGAGATTGTTTGATTCAGTACATTTATGTCTAGAACCCCATCCTTAACAGTCAGAAATACACACAAGGATTTATGTACGAAGATGTTGAGTGAAACAGTATCCATTATTTAAAACTGAAAACCTAAATAATCTAACAGTAAGGAAATAGGTAAATAATTTAAACATAGCCACACAATAGAATAAATACTGCAATCATTACAAAACACACTTTCTGGGCACATTTCATCACATGGCAAAATGCCCATGTTCCAATTTTAAGTGAGACAAAATTACACACATGCATTGCCAAACACACACGGTATGGTTCTGATTTCATTTACTTAATGCTTAAGTATATAATTGAGCATGGGGAGAAACACTGAAAAGAAATACATGAAAATGTAAACAGTAACTACATTTTATGATGGAATTATATAGGATTTTCATTTTCTTCATATTTCTATATATTTCTCAAATTGTACATAATCAATATATACTATTTTCATAATTAGAAAATAAAGTTCTAGGATAAAATGCAAAATCTTTCAGCACAACATTCAAGGCCCACACGGTCTGACAGCAAATACTTTCCCAGCTCTAACACAGGCTCTAGTACCATAACCATGGTCTCTCATCCATCAATCCTCTTATTTATTCCTTTGCCCAAAATACTCTTCTTTGTTCTACTCCAATACCTTCTTTTCCATCAAGACCCTAATTCTCCCAAGGGAAGTCAGTCTACAATGAATCTAGCTCCCATAACATTTTGTATCTACGATACACGACAAATTTGTCTGTCTTGGTTATATTTATACAATTAGTTTATGTATTTACACTTTCCTGTACTCTGTGAGAACTAACTACATCTTACTCATCCTATTTAACCCTAAGCCTAGCACAGCACCTGGAAGAGTGAAGAAAGACTTATAAAAATCTTTATAAAATTATTTTAAATTACTAACTCTTCTATTGTAAAATTACAGCAAATCCCCTTAACTGGTCTCTCTTCTGTCTCAACCCTCCTCCCATATGACTATGTTTCTTTCTGGCTTAAGAGGCTTCAATGGCATTTTATAACCCAAGGATAAAAACTTTGCAAAGCAAAGACTTCTTGACAAAGTACAAAACATCCTCCAAAATATCTTGTTGCCTACTTCTCCAATTTCATCTCTAACTACATTCCCTTTATCTTCTACTGCAACCAAACTAAACCACTTGTACCTTCCAGAACACGCAGTTTCAGGCATTTGTACCTTTGCATTGCTTATGCCAGGATGATGCTCCTTTCTCATTCTCCCCACTGCCACTCAACTCATACTTCTACCCATCTTTCAAAAAGCATCTCAAGTGTCTGCTCTTCCAAAAACTATTTCCAGAATTATCACTAATTCTGCCTCCTTTATATAAACCTCTGCTCTGAATTGAATGAGCGATGCTTAAAGGAAGGTAGAAAATAAATATTGTTTCTGTACTATAGCTTAAGAACCTAATGTGTTACTTATGATAAATTTACACTACAAAAAATATGAAGTAAAAAGAAAACCAAGACTTTCTGAATTTGATTCTTGTATTTAATTCATTCATTCTACATTAACCTATATTTGTGCAAGACACCGGGGAAATGAAGATAAATAAGATGGTTTTCTAGACATGGAGCTCAAAACTAACAGATAATGACCTATAAAGACATTATTACAATGTAATATAAATAGTGCTACAAATAAAGGGAGATTGGAAGGTATGATAAAGGGACACAATGGAGAAATTACCAACTCCACCTTGGGTGACCAGAGAGATCCTCACTGAAGGGGTAACATGAGCAATGAAAAGGCACAAAGATGTGAAAAAGGATAAAGGCAGGAAACATCACAGGATGGATGTTGATGAAACCACAGGTGACTAAGATGAAGAAAGCAAGGGATGTTTCATTGGGAGCACAGAGGTCCACACTAAGGCTTTTAAACTTTATCTTGCAGGCTCGGAAGCCACTAAAGCAGCACTTCTCTCAGAATCATCAGGGGTGCTAGTTAAAATACAGGTTCCTGGGCCTGATATCAGATCTGAATCAGTGCATCTCAGGATTGACCAGAATCTGCCTAATGAGAACCCGAGATGACTTTATGCAGTAAAGTATGAAAACTACTGTCTGAAGGCTTTAATGAGAGGAGTTAACACGATGAAATTTAATTTTATAAATGTTTATCCACCAGCAATGCCGGCTAAAAAGAAGCAAGATCAGAGTCATGACTATGAATTGAGAGAAAACAGAAGCCATCCAGATGAGGGAATATAAAGTATGCAATAGTACTGAGAATGTAAAAGATGGGATGGATTGAAGAATGTCTACAACACTCTTTTATTTCTCACACCACTGTGTTTTGTATTTGCCTTTTCAAACACTGAATGTGTAATGCAAACACTATGCTTAATGCTTTGTAGCTACTGACACTAATCTGACTGAATGATACATAAAATTAAATATTTATAATACATTATATCTAACATATTATTAATATGAAAATCATTATTAATAATGATAGATACCACATACTAAAGTGTTGCTATGGCCCAGGCATTATGCTAGGCATTAGAGTTGGCTATGTCACAGCAAAAGGTAAAATATCATTTTATACCATCTTATATCAACATCAGGTAGACAAATGTGACATTAGGTGTGAGGGAATAGGTAATAACAACATTAGATAAAAGAGCCCACCACAGTACTTTAGTAAATATTGTCTTTCCAGTAAAGATCTATAAAACTCTTTCAGGAGAAAGAGAGACCATTACTACCAAAGAATATAAAATCAAACATGTTTTGTAAAGAAATTACTGAAGCAGCAAGAGTGGCTTGAAGAAAAAAGATGACAAGAGTGAGGATACAAGGTTGACTTTCAAGCTCTCTCTGAAGTCAACCACATATATGCCCCTTTCAGCACCCCCAGATCTGCCCAGGGTTTCTGTCTCTTTCTGGGAGGTGTGCCAGCAGACAACCTATGTCCTTGGACAACTGAAAGGTTATCTAATGTCTGGTACCATGATATCTGGATGTGATTGTGTACGACTCCTCTTATCACAACCTCTCAGTGATACTGATTGTGTCATTGTGACAAAAACTGTATCTAATAGAAATCCACAGTCAGAAAAAAAGAGTAAAAAAATAAATAAAACAACAATAAAAACAGATAAGAAAGAACAGAAGGAGACTGAATGAAAGGAGAGAAAATGTCCCATCCTCAAGTCCTGCAGACAAACTATAACTTCTGATATCACCAAGTCCTGCATATGACCCCATAATGCCTGACAATGGATACTGCTGACTTAACAAACAGCATC